CACATCAGTTGCCACATAAGGTGGTCAGCTAAGGCGATCAATGTTGTGTGTCTAAATAGCATGACACAATAATTTTTTTTAAAAAATAATAGGTAGATTATTATCCACCAAAAAACTAGGTACAATAAATGAAATCCAAGTTCTAAAATAGGTAGATTATTATCCAAGAAAGATGGAACAAAATTTCAAAAAGGCAATAAGGAAAACTTCCTTTTTCGGCCAACACATTGTTGATTGTATTGATGAATTTTAATAATAAAATGGATCATTAATTGCAGACTATTTTGGCAATCAAAAAATTATAATAAATCAGAAATTGAGTTTAATAAGGTAACTTGATGAGTTGGATCCTAGTCATGGGTTTTTACTTATAAAAATTGGGTATTATTTATAGGAACAAAAAGTGAAGTGTTTTAGTTAAGGTAAGTTGAATTTGAAGGGTGTAAGCCAAATTTACTAAAAAAATAAAGGTATATCTACTAGTTTACTGGTATAGTTCATGGCCGTGAATTATTGACAAATGAAAAAGACAAGGAAAAATGCATAAAGTAATTTCTTTTTCCCTTTTTTGGTAGAAAACATCAAGTAATTTAATGTTTAATTAGAAGGGAGCTAAGACGAAAATTGTAAAAGTTGACTGAGAGAACTCATTTTCACATCGTGGTAAATATCAAAGCTTTTCAGTCTTTTTGTTAGGGTCAAAATTTCCCTTGCTTACATCTCCAATCCACTAACCTCTGTTTCTTTCTTTCACCACAACACCACCTCTTCCCTGTGGTTTCATCCGATGCTTTCATCATTTCCCTTCTTGTCTACATTGATTTTCTATATCTTTTTATAGGGATATCCTTGCTGATTTGGGTTTGGCTTTTACTTGGTCTTGGTATGAACTTGGCTCATTTTTGTTTTGTTTTGAGTTTGGTAACACATTTTCCTTTATCTTCACTAGCAGTAGTCCCATTTTTAAGAATCTTCTTCCAAACTTTCCTAGTAGGAACAACATTCCAGATACCAAAACCATTCTTATCCCCAGTGAGATCAATTGGGCCTTGTTGATTACCATCAATCAAACGTCATTTTACATAACTTCTCCACTTGATGAGAACACATCTCTTCTTGAATATCCCTAGTCATGTCCATATCAGTCTCATTGTCATTATGGACTGGGTTAGCAAAAGGACAATACTCTTTATTGTGACCAACTCTGCAGCAACTAAAACAAATCATAGGGAGATTTTCATATTCCACTCTCACACGTGTACCTTCAACAACTAGATAAAGGATGAGAGGCTTATTCAGATCAATTTCAACACATACACTTGCAAACTTACCTCTCATCTGACCTACAATATGAACATCTACCTTATAGGTTGAGCCAATCAAATCCCCAATACACTTAATAGTCTCAGAATTGAAAAATTCAACTCCCATACCAGATAATCTCACCCAAACAATAAGGCGAGAAATATGATCCTCTCCTGCACAAAAATTTGGTCTCCACTTTTGAATATCAACATACTGCCATGCTACTACCCAAGGACCCCCAGTTAACACATACAACAAATCCTCCTCAAGAACAAAATGAACAATGAAGAACCCATTGTCTAAATCAACTAATTGCATCGGTCCCTTAAGGTTCCAGCGTTGCTTCAAATGTGCAAAAACAAAATTATACGTATAAGTCTTCCTAAAAATTTGATAATCGTAGAATTCCTGCAAGGTTTATAAATCTTATTCTTAACATGTGATACTTGTGTGATACTTCGAACATGTTAAGTTTAACCTCAATGTTGGACTTGAAAACAATTGATTAAGAACCAAAATTGTGCAATTTTTGGAAGTTGTTAACTTTGACTATAAGCCTACTTCACGCCCCCCTCATTCTGTAGGCTTGTTTAAGACTAGTCATGGTTTTACAATTTTGTTCTTTATCGAGGATTCAACTTGAATTTCTGCGTTGTTTCCTGTTCATCTTGCTATTTTCTTTTGTATTCAAATGTTATTTAATTAAATCATTGTTTCCTTTGCTTTAGAAAATCTTTTGAAGTATTTTTTTTTTAATTTTATTTTGTCAAGTGCATAGGAAAAAACCTATATTGAGGCAATTCCCTATTCGATTCAAAGTGACTTGATTTATAGGTTAGATTACATGGTGCTGAAGTTATTTTAAGTTCATTTAATTTTTGGCCAAATTATTTTAAGCACACGAGGACATGTAATAAAAAGATGCTGCAATGACTCGTCATGATAATGACAAAGAGAACAAGAAGGGTTCTGTTTGGGGCTGTTGAAAATCACGGCCGGATTGGAAGCTATGCCAAGAGATTGCGGTCGGGCTATGCGAAGAAGATGCGGCTGGAGGTTTAAAGGTGGATGAGTTATTGAAACTTGGTGATCAATATTTAAGTTCTTTGCGGCTGGGTGAATGCGAATGGAGCCTTGGTTGGTCTCCAAAATTGGGGCTGAAGGATCTGCAAAGCCAAAAAAAAAAAAAAAAAAAAAAATATCTTTCTATCATGTACTTGTCAATTCATAGTCTAGGATTTTATCTTTCAAGTTCTTCAGATTATCCAAGTTCTTCGTTTTCCTAGTATAAGCTTACTTTCTTGCAATTTAATTTCAATTGTCTTTACATTCGAGTTTAATTCAAGTCTTTATCGCTTTAATTTATTTTATCGCATTTACATTTCTGTCATCTCGTTTACTGCATTTACATTTCTCGCACTTAGATTTTTGTGATTTTGCTTACTGCATTTACATTCATTGCACTTATCACAAAAATCCTAAAAATAGTCATACAAATCTCAATCATCCTTCGCCTCAAGGAAGAAAAAGAACCTAGGCCAAGAGGAGGTTCCTTGCTTGGCAGATCAATCGTTTGATTAAAAGTCAGAAGCGCAAACACACTCACACGATCTTTCCATCCAAGCCATCAAGTGGCTTGGTGGTGGCACACCTACACATCTCATGAGAAGAAGGACCAAAAAACTCTTTCCATCGGCCTACCCGGCCGAAAAGAGGGAAATAGGTCCCTAGAAAGATGTCTTCTTACTCTCTGCACGTTAGTTAAGATCTTCTTTTGAGTAATGAGTCAAATGAACACTTTAACACGAGCCCCTAAGATCTTCTTTTGAGCAATGAGCCAGATGCCTTCTTACTCTCTTAATATTAGTTAAGATCTTCATTTAATTTCGGGCCAAATTCTTACTCTTGCACTTCATTTATGTTGTCACTTCGAGCCCTTAATTTTTTTTAAATTTTAGTTTGGACCACCACCATCTTGGTGTCTTGGTCATGGTGGCAGACTAAAATGAAAAAGAAAGGTCTACGCAACTTGCGGTGGGACATCACAAGACTTCAAGGAAGGTCCACATGACATTTTCTTAAGATTTTGGGCAACTTAAATTAATTGGGTTGACCCCAAATTTTAGATTTTGGCTTGCTTGTGGGTATTCGCCCGTATTGCCACCCACCATGGATCGCTTCTGCTGCAACAAGAATCCCTGGTAGTTGACAAATTAACATCCTATATAGTATCTTGGTGAATTTTGACAGAATATGTTGTTACTGGCAAGCTGCTGTGGTGGTGGTCTGTACAAGGCTGAGGTTACCAAATCGATGAAGACCCAAGGAAGGCGTCAAAAAGCCTGGTGAGGTTGACAATGAAGAACCTGCGCTGAATGATCGAAATAACCCTTAAAAGAGAGTCAACATGAGTCAAATGACGGATTAATGGATGAAATGTTCGAATTTTGATGGTGGGGGGAGCATTGATAATAAAATTTAATTCGAACTCTTAATTCGCTAAAAAAAAAGGTTATGGGGTAAATTGAGAGTTATGTACAAGTTCAGGGGGTAATTTAGCATATTACTCATCCTTTTTCTCCCTTTGCTTTTGAAAACATATAAACTTGTTTGAAATTAATTTAAAAATATACTGAACCTTCATTAGAACCAAAACATAGCATTAGAAAAAAGAAAAAGAAAAAGAAAAAGAGGATGGGCGTGTTTGGGGAGGGGAGGGACTACTCAGCGTGGGGGCGAGGGAGAGTGGGACTACAACTGCGTGGAGACAAAAGGCCAGGGAATGGTTGCGTTGGGGAAGATCCTACTGGGAGGTGGTCGAGAGTTAGGTATTGTTCTTGAGAGAGAAGGGTAGGGTAGGGTTGGGTGGATTAGAGTTCAGAGGTGGCTCTGGCTTGGGGCTTTTGGGTGTGGGTGGGGAAAGTAGCTGGGGAGAAAGCGAGAAGAGAGGGGTATTGTGGTTGAGATCCTTTGGTTTTTAATTTCTTTTAGCTTTAATTTTTTTTTTTATTTCTTAATTATTTATTGAGTAATGCCATTTAGACACACAACATTAACCACTTTAGCTGACCTCCTTATGTGGCAATTGATGTGTCATGCCAAGTCAATTAATTAATATCGCCTTGTCAATTAAAAAACAGATTTAAAAACCCTAGGGTTCCAAGTAAGTGGACTCATAGCAACATTCATTAATTAACATGACATGACACATCAGTTGCCACATAAGGTGGTCAATGTTGTGTGTCTAAATAGCATTACTTGTTAAAATATTAATAAAGAATTAACAGTAGTTTAACTAATTGAATCACATTGGCTAACGAAGCTAAACACAAGAATTGGCCAAATTAAAAACACAAGGACTAAATTTGCCAATGAGCCAAAACACAAGGAGCATTTTAGCATTTAAGCCATTTCCATTTGACTAGTTACTATTTTCGGGGTCATGATTTTCCATAATTTTTTCTTTTTGGCATCATAATGGCCTACTAATTCTACCAAAACTAAATTTGGATTAGGTATCAGATACCTTTCCCTAAAAAATGTGTCGAGAAATAGAATGATCAAAAGTAGTAACATTGAAAATTCATGTGTCGGGTTTACCTGGTCAAAGCTATTCGATATTACATTTGCTTTTAGCATCTGTAGATTTTGTACAGGGATACATCAAAGCATGGAACACACTAGGAGCTACGTAGAGCTCTTCACACATAAATAGGTTGTTATTATGCTTACAGGCTAGCATGGAGAAAATGAAATTCCAAATGCGCAAAATATATATCATATAAATACAAAGAGGACTGCGACGGTCAGTCGCCCAACAATACAAACACACGCATCCATGATTATCCTTGCACTGGAGTTTCCATGTAAAACATGTCAATCCCGCAGTCTAATTATCAGAAGATGTAGTCGGGCACCTGGAGGGGGAACTGCGCCACTGCAACATCAAATGGGCCGCCCTTCGGCTCCCTCAAACTAAAACCAACAGAAACAAATATGTAACTAGCAAATGTTAATCATGATATCAGTTCAATACTCCCTTACAACACATTCGAATGGGAATTGAATATTTATGTCCATGATTGTTACAAGAAAATTATATGCAAACAGTCATAATTTGTATATTCATATAGATAGATTAGAGCTGAAATCAAAGTTCAGAATACACAAAAATCAAGTTGGTGAAAGATCAGGCGAGTAGAAACATTCTTCAACATAACTACTTTGATATGGTGGAAGTTGCATCTTTGTAGCCCCAACTAACATAACACAAACTCCTAGCTTTCGGGCCTTTGATTCAACTATCCTCTCCTGCTCCTATTACTCATCTAACTCCCATTTCATGTCCCAAACTACGCTCCTAAGCAAATCAAGCTCAAAGGTGTTGTTTTGGTTTTTTCCATGAATTATACGCAATGCTCTTTCTAAGGTTCATCACATGTTAAAGCAATTTCTTTGAAATTCTACATTCTAAGCAAAGTTCTCACTCATCCGAACCTTCTTCAACCAGCAAGTCAACAGGCTCATTATGGCTCAACTAAGATCCCAGTCATATGCAAGGTCAAAATCTGAACTAAAAGCTTGAACACATATCTAACTTAGTTCAGGTGCTTGACACTGAAGAAGTAAAAAGTTAGGAGGGAAAGAAAATCATACAGTATTTTATCTCTTCTCAATGAAAAAAGCCTAAAAAAGCAGATCAAAGATGCAGAAGCCCTATAATTTTTAGTACATGTGGATAAAACATAAAGAACTGAAACATTTTCTGCAAAACCCTTTTGCTCCAAAGTAAGTACATAACCACAGTAAATGTTTCGACCAAATAAAAATCACAGTAAAATCCTTTTCAATCAACACTTTACAGACCACATAATTTTTTAGGTAGGAGAAAATTATTATATGCATAATGTATTCAGGTCGAGTACCTGCCAGGGATAAAAGCAAAAGAACCTTCAATAGAACCGGAAGAAAATGGTAGAGGTGTGCCACTCTCATAAACAAATTCGCTGTCGCCTGGATGCAAAAGTGGGTACTGCAAACACGAAAGTATAAGATTTATGACAGAAATTTAGCCTCTTTCAATGCATAGTTTAATTACAAGCAGAAGTTTACCTTCAATATTTTTTTTTTCAAACACTTGTCTATAAATAGGTTAGATGAAACAATACTTTTTCTGTTTGAGAAGAAACAAAAAATTTATTAATAAGAAACGTCAAAAACTGCAATCGGGCAGGGGATGTGGAGTCGACTCTGAAATTACACTAGTAAAAAAACACAATTTAATCTACCTAAACTACACATAAAGGAAAAGAATCAGA